GTAAACATCTTGTGATTTTGTAATCTACTATAGCCAAAGTACAAATTGTAGCTCTTACCCAATACAAAATGACATCAGACAAACTTCATAGTTAAAAAATAAACAATGTCAGATTTTATTATGTAGGTCATTATTTTTAAAATAAAATTTGGATTAGACAGCTTTATATGATAAAATTTCAGAATTTATATTTATATTATATATTTATATTTTATTTTATATGATATATATTTTATATTTAATTTATATTTATATTTATATGATATATATTTATATTTATTTATGATATATATATTTTTAAAATATTTATATTTATATTTATATGTTGGTAATAATATTATATGATATATATTTATATTTATATTTATATTTATATGATATATATTTATATTTATATGATATATATTTATATTTAATATATTTATATTTATATGAGCAATGTATTATTTATATTTATATGATATATATTTATATTTATATGATATATATTTATTTATATTATATTTATATTTATTTATATTTATATGATATATTATATTATATTTATATTTATGATATATTTTTATATTTATATTTATATATATTTATATTTATATGATATATATTTATATTTATATTTATATTTATATTTATATGATATATATTTATATTTATATTTATATTTATATTTATATTTATATTTATTTATATTTATATTTATATGATATAATGTATATTTATTTACTATTTAAAAATATTTATAATAAATTGTTTTGATGGTTTCAGGTTTTTATGTAAACAAATAGGCCATAGAAACATATTTGGTTAATATGATATAGGAAAATGATATATAAATTTTGATATATCAAGAACAATTTTAGGAAAATCTATGGCAAAGTGGAATTTCTTTTGTGTAAAATGTTTTGTCCTTTAGGACTTCATCATGTGCATGAGTAGTCACATCAATGTAAACATCACTTTAGTCTGATTAGGTCCTAAAGGACAAAACATGTCACACACACAAAATTCATTCATGCACATGTGTAGTTGATCAACGTAAACATCACTATAGTCTGATTAAGTCCTAAAGGAAGAAACACATCACATGAAAAGGTTTTCTACTTATTCATAGATTTTTCTTAATATGAAGGACACGGCCATCAGTCCCATCCAATAAAGCTCTGAAAAAAAACTCTTGAGAAATCAGTTCACAAACAGACACCTTTCTCTTTGAGATATCTACTTAAAGGTGACAGCTTGATTACTTTCTTATTTTTAACTTATAGTCTTAATATTCTAGATCTTTTCTCTTTATATTTGCAACACCAATTTCTTCAAATATCTTCTTCTTCTTGCTGTTCAATACACTTTTCTTGCTGCTCAATAAAGTTTTCTTGCTGCTCAATAAAGTTTTCTTGCTGCTCAATACACTTTTCTTGCTGCTCAATACACTTTTCTTGCTGCTCAGTACACTTTTCTTGCTGTTCAATACACTTTTCTTGCTGCTCAATACACTTTTCTTGCTGCTCAGTACACTTTTCTTGTTGCTCAATACACTTTTCTTGCTGCTCAATACACTTTTCTTGCTGCTCAGTACACTTTTCTTGCTGCTCAATACACTTTTCTTGCTTATTATCATTTTCTTTTTTTCTTAAAGCTCTTTTTTGTGACATTCTTAAAGCTGGCTTTTTCTTGCCAATGTTTACAATTTCTTTATTTGTTCTATGATCGCTGTTCAATTTTTTACATTTTGCAAAATTCTGTTCTCATTACTCACTAACTTTACAATATCTTGCTTCTCATTATATCTTTCTTATGACTCATGGAAATCTTTTTTGTCTGAAATTGAAAAATATTTGTCAGTAATTATATTATTATATATTATTTATTATGTAATGAACAACCCTCAAGTTGCATAATAAAATCTTACACCACTAAATAAGTTATAAATATTTCTAATGAAAACAGATAAGCTGAAATTCACATGTCATATTTATATATACTGAAAATTTTCCTAAAATCAGTTGTTTAGAACCATTTTCATAATCACTAACTTGCATTATAAAAATGGACATTTGTAAAACACACTAATTTTATTAATTTGTCATATTTAATAATAAAATGCCGTTAAGAATTTTATTAGTATAACATTATTTGAGTTTAAGTTTTTCTTACACAAATTTCAAAAAAACATGTTCTGCAAAAATACGTTTCTGTCCTTGATTCAAAATATAATACAGGATATACATTAAATTTCTTGAAACTGATAAAATAAATGAAAAGTTTTAATTTGGTGGTCAAATCTTTGATAATGCATTTTGTTCTCTACAGTAATTAGCTAACTCTTCATGCAAATGATTGTTTTCAGATGATATATTAGTAAATTTTTATCCAAATAATACAATGAAAATATATTAGTGGGGAAACAAAAGTTTATAAATTTCCGAATGTATATATCTTTCCAGAAAAATGATCCATACAGCCTTTATATTTCATTAATGTTATGTAAAATAAAAAAATGTATTTTTTATATAAAAATTCTTTAACATAAACCATTTCTAAATTTAAGAAACATTGTTGATATTATGATCATTTAAGAAAATTATGCAATCCAATTTTAGTACAAATTAAAGTCTGTCTTCAGAATTGATTTCTTAGAGTGAGAGTTCTTAAAAATTTGATTTGCAATAAAAAGTGTTGTAGGTTTGTTCAGTAGAGTATATAAATATTGATAAAGTTTCAATTTATTGAAAGATATGAGTCAAACAGGCTTCTGACAAATCCATGCTGTTTGTTCATTAATAAATATAGAACCAACCACAACTTGCACTTAATCCTATTTTATCCCTTTAGTTCCATTGACACCAGATATTTGAATCTCACTGAGAATGAATCATGAAAAAAAATCACTTTAGCACTTAAGACCTATTCTCTAGACAGATTCCACTTTCCCTAATATTATGCCTTAAGGAAAATGTATCTCTTTTTATGTCTAGAGTTAATATTGGAGTATTATTAAAAAAAAATACAGACAAATGGTGTTTTGGTGCTACTACTAATAAGTGTTGCTAGTTTACTATCACAAATGTAAATTGGCTGGCAAATTTTCTTCTCTTCCACTGCAGAGGTAGAACAACATTTATGCAATTTCTTTTATATTTATTCAAGTTAAATAATTATTGAAAAACTAATAGAAAGATTTCAACAAAAAGTCAATATTTTTGTTTCAGACATATTTTTCACAGTTCCATTGTACACATGGCTACTTTATTTAAAGGTATTTTAACTCTGGCATGGTACTATAAACTTACTTCTAGTAAAACAATCATTAAGTAGACTTCATTCTATAAGAGAATCTTTATACATCAAATGTCACATTTAAGCTATTCTTGAAATGAACTCATTTTACCCAAGGTCCTAAATAATGAACAATTAATGAAAAGCTGGACAAAGTTAGTTTATCTACTGTATTCTGTTAGCTCCTTATAATAACGATCTTATTTCTAACTAGCCTAGAAACCGCCTTTTGGGCAGACTTAGGCTAGCTCCTGTGGAAGGCTTTTGGGCCCTCAGCCTTTTACCTTTAACATTGTATGTACATAAATGTTATAAGAATTTAAAAATAATAAAATTATTTTATCTTTATTGACACCTTAATTTGGCATAATCTTTCTTCATATATGCAACCAATCTCTATAGTTTGTTTACATTTATTTTGATCGCAATTTTTATTTTCTTTTAAAATCACCAGTCTTTATGGACTCTTCACATAATGTCACTCTTAAAAGACATTAGGGAACCTGAACTATGTAAAATTTTGAATATGTCACAGTATGTGTGCTCGGAAAAGAAAAAAAAACATGAGCAACATAATGTGTCCCACTTAAGTTTTAATTACAGTTTTAAAATTAGACATTATCTATTGCAATTGTGACAAAATGCAAAATTAAAATTAAGAATTGTTTTTTTAGACTTTTCACTCGGTTCAATATTTAAGTTTAACTTTAAATAAGTTATTTATTCAATTTTTAATTGCATGTAACTACAGTAGTTACTACCTGTTACTTTAGGTTGTGTACAATTTACCAACTGCACTTTATTTATATAGATTCATTAAATGGAGCATTTGTTGTCAGAACTTCCTAAAAATATTATTCTTTGCATGCCTGTGTTTCTTTTTAATTTACTTTTTTATTAATTCTTTTGTTTTTTCAAAAAAATCATTTCTCTCAGTATTTGCATTATCAAAATGATACATTTGGACTACTCAGTTGTAGGTTACAGGATATGATTGGAGCAAGATAGATAATCCTCCCACATAAATTTTACAAGCTGGCAATAATAACCACCAGAAATTAACTACAGAATAACAAACAATTAACTGAAGCAAAAACTCCCACATCCAAACTATCTAATCCTCAGGGAATATTGGTGCCTACACAACATCTATAATGTAAAAGAAACACTGGCCAATTTAAAGGAAATTGAAACAGGAAAATGTCAGTGACAAACAGGGAATGAAAAACTGCCATTGGTGATTCATTTCTAAGTTAGATGAATGGTTTATGTCCATATAAGGAGATTTGTATGGCATTCTATGATAAAGAAATATTTGTCACCTGATAAATAAAATAGGGAAGATAAAGATATCATCAAAGTAATAGATAAATAATAAGATTTTCTGACTCAGATCAGTCCAAAGAAAAACAATAAGCTTTAGGTTCTTGAGTATATATATATATATATATATATATATATATATATATATATAAATTTTCAAATTTTCAATCCATTATATAGTGTATATATATATATATATATATATATATATATATATATATACTCATAATTGTCAATCCATTAGTGTATATATATATATATATATATATATATATATATATATATAAACAAAGTAGTAAATCTTCTCTTTCCAACTCATAATTTTCAATCTATTAGTTTATATATATATATATATATATATATATATGAGTTGGAAAAGAGAGATTTACTACCTTTGTTTA